GCTTAAGAATTTGTGAAGTGTGTCTGTGATTGATCCCTGTAGTGTATTGATTATACATGTACCTATCTCATTTATTGACAACAACCTAGTATGGGTTCTAAGGTGAGCACTTTGTACATAATTCAGTAAATGTATTACTTGCAATAATCCTACTGGAATGGAAATACCCGCATGCTGTAAAATTACTAAGTCAGTAAACACTTATACTTCTATCTGTGTAACGTGTTTTTCGATAAAGTTCATTTGGCCTTGGGCAAGGAAAGAGAAACAGTCTCTTTGTGTCTAAGTGACGACACTACAATCCTCCTTTTGGAGTTTTCTATCCATGAGTTGATGATGAAGAAAAAAAAACATGTATTAAACCAATTACATTGTATTGCATTTCCTCACTGAAAACATAAACAGGAGAGCTAAACGCATCATCAAGAGCAGTAATCCCTTTTCTCGTTTTAGGCTACTTAAAGTGTACATCTTTGGTCTTAAATACCACAGTAGTCTCAGTATATTATCCCTTACCAAAATTAAGTATACTTTTAGCATACTAATTCTGTAATCAAAGTGTACTGCAAATGAGATACACAAAGTATACTTTCAGTAGACTTGAAGTACCAAGAATACCAGGAACACCAGGAAATGAAACACAATGAAAGGCACTACATTAATGTTTAGATCAACAACTTACTACACTACGCATCTGGATTTCTAAGAAATTAGAAAAGAAAGTATCAGATTTCCAGTGAAAATATGTCGTTATTTTATAGGTAATCTCTTGGAGGAAAAGCGAGACGTCTCTGTTAAACATCTACAAGAAGTGTTCGACACCAAATACAGTATGTTTTTTATACATATATGTGCCTTAATACATGCACGCTCGGGTTCAGACCACATGTCAGAGCGGCAATGTCGGTGGACCAGAAGGCCGCATTCAGTTTCAGTTTTGCCATAAGTGAAAACTACTTATTCATAGACTTCTATTTGAAGTAGTTAGGTGGAAGGGGTCAATAGCTGTTTTTCCCTTAGTTTCTACTTTTTCTTTTGATTTTATGCAATAAGAAAAAAAGTCCGTCTTTCCCGACACAAATTTTGATTCTGCTTTTGATTTTTTCTTGTGGCAATTCTCGTTGTCTATAGTCTATAGCTAGAAGTCCTGTATAGTTATATGATATTCGGTGCAGCAAGCAGTGACATCTAGCTTCAGTTTTTTTTTTTTTTGCTGTTAATTTCTATCTTTCTCTTTCGTAGGTGAACTTGTTGAAAGGAGAGGAAGTAAAATGC